AAAGACCTTTCTGTCAGTTGGTTATTTTCCCACCCAGAATATAACATAAGGCTTAGAAGAGATCTCATTGTTTTTTTCTTTAACTTGTTTATAAACAAAAAGGAATTTTTTAAAATCCAGTAACATTAAGAAAGTTCTAGTAAAAGTTACATTATGTAATGATTTTATTTAACAGATATTGTGACTAAATTTAGAAGAAATTGTCTATGTATACTCTGTTGTGAGAATCTGATGTACCCTGTAAAAAGTTGTGTGTGCAGATAAATAAAATAATACATTTCAAATAAAAATTACTGTTTGGTAAGAAAAGTCTAGAACTGAGTAATTTCATCTATATCTAGGAAAGAAATCTTTGGTGGTGATTCTGAATGTGTGGGGGATGCAAAAAAACCTATGAAAGTGAAGTTTATGCTATATTTTTCCTCTGATTTTTAACAAAAACATGAGGTTTTTACATGACATCCCACAGACACCTAATTTTCAATTTTACCTACTCAGGTACTACCCAACTTTGAGTAATTTAGAGGAATTAAATATTTCATATTTCAGCTTATAATTAATTGTTTTCTTATTAGTCAAGTAATTTTATTTATTGAGGTTTTCCTTTTAGTGCTCTATTTAGATACAGTATGAATAAGCTCAATAAATGCATTCTTTTATAAATAAACACAAAGGTGTTATCACTTGCTTTAAGCAACTTACTTTCAATTTTCTTACTCTATTTGATGATTAGAGATATACAGGACAAGGTCCAATGGTAGTGAAGTGGCATAGCTCTCTGTTGTGTAAATAGCTTTATCTTAAAAAAGCATGTTGCCAAGACCAGCCGGTAGTCACACTTGTTACATTTTTTACAAGAATCATGTAGACACCATGTTTCCTAAGTATTACTCTGTGTCTTTCAATATATATTTTTTAATTAAATTTTATAATAATTTATTGTAGACAGGAAATACCTAATGGTTCTTATAGGCTGTAGTTAAAATGTGGGAAGTTATAGCTTTACCAATTAGATAGATTTCAATATAGAAAAATAAATCATTTTCAAATTGTTTTATGGAGTTTATTAAAGTATCATAGATTTTTGTGATATTGAGTGGGGCCAATCGTTTTACTGATTTGTAGTTGAAAATTATCAGATTAGATGTTAGACACTGGTAGTAACTGATACTATACCAATTAGGCTGACAATTACCATCATGGAAAGTCTAATTTGATCCTATGTAGACTTAACTTTTACATTAGTAAATGGTACTATACCAATTAGGCTAACAATTACCATTATGGAAAGTTTAGTTTGATCCTATGTAATCCTAACTTGTTCATTAGTAAATGGTACTATACCAATTAGGCTAACAATTACCATCACGGAAAGTCTAGTTTGATCTTATGTAGACCTAACTTGTACATTAGTAGATGGTACGAAACCAATTAGGCTAACAATTACCATCATGGAAAGCCTAGTTTGATCTTATGTAGACCTAACTTGTATATTAGTAGATGGTACTATACCAATTAGGCTAACAATTACCAACATGGAAAGCCTAGTTTGATCCTATATAATCCTAACTTGTACATTAGTAAATGGTAACTTATAAATACAAGTAAATTTGCATGAAGTCATAGTTTCAGTGAGATGAAATCCAGTATAATATTTAACTACACAGTTTGTGAGAACCATGTTTTAACCCTTGAAGTAAAACACTGACACTCACTGAAAATAACCTCCACATTACAATTCAAGAGGCCTTTCCTTCAATAGGATTGTGTTGGATTAAGAACAGCATTTAGTATTTAGCTTTGTGATCTACTTGAGTGTTGATTAAACTTTTTATGGCAACTCCTTTCTAAACTTGTGCCCCTTGATTCCATATAAAAATAAAGCAAGTTTTAAAGTGGTATACAGCATAAAGCAAACTGTTTCAGTTTACTCACCAATTTAGTGTAAATGATGGGCTTGGGATAAGATGAGGTCCATTCTTGGCTGAATTGTTGACACAGCAATTTTGAGATCCCCTCTACCTGCAGACAAGATCACTGTTTTGTTCTGATTGCTGTCAGAGCAGAAAACGATGACTCACTCGCACATGTATGTTGATGTGTAAGGCAAAATTGTGTCCTTCACTTTCCTTGATAGGTCAGAGTATTCTTTGGGAACTGGCATCCAGAAGTTTCCATGAGGTTTCCTTGAATTATACCTGAAGAGTTTTATCACTGGATAGTTCTGTGAGCTTTTCTTGATCTGTCATTTACAGATGAGAAGTTATGCTGCCATTACATGGATTCTCCCATTAATTCTTGGATTTGATCTACAAATTGAAATTGATGTCTGTCGAGATTAATAGAAAAAACATCACGAATAAGACTGTGATTTAACTCTTCTTTTTTTTCCTAAGAATTTATTGAGGTAAGGAAACACTTCTTAGTTTCTATTCTCAAACTGATTATTCCACAGCAAAACAAGCACTTTGTCACTCAGCTCCAAAATATTGAGTTTATCGAAAATATCAGACAGGTAGCACAGTACTATAAACCACTAGTGTGGGGTTGCAGTCTAACAACAACAAAAGAAAATATGAAGTTTGTCTTTCCTCTTCATGATGTGAGAGAATACCTTCCAGCGAGACAACCAACACATCTCTGTATACAGCAGGATCTTGTAACACATGGATCTTATTTCTTCACAAAGAATGGAAAACAGCCTGCTGTTCAACGCTCTTGATTTCACAACACTCAAAGCATCTTGTTTGC